AGGTCTTTCGCCCCCGTTTTTTTCACACATTTTTTCCCTACAGAAAAAAGGCAAATGAATGTATGATTTCCATATCGTAGAAAGCAACATTTCAGCTTCTTTTAATATTAGTAAGCAGACTTCCCTGTTGCCACCTTCAAATAATTTGTTAATTTTTGGCAGCATACTCTAAGAAGGATTAAGAGACTGGCAGCAAGGATGGCCGGGGCACCAGAAGCTAAAGCCTACTAAAATAAATTAAAGGAGCTTTCTTGTAGCCTTAAGAAAAAACTGAGGTTGGATATATCTCTCTACAAAGAACTGTAAATACTTGTACAAATAAATACAAATAAAATGAATGCCACATAGAAGAAAGTCAAGACCTGTTCTCTGTTGTTCCAGAATGTAGGGTACATAATAATGGATTTACAATACTGGTAGTCCTCAACTTACAACAGACTTCCCAAAAGATATGCATGACCCAGATCCAAAGTTCCAATGTCTGGGGCCTGCATTTGCGGCTGTTTGCAGCATCCCACGGTTATATAACTGTGATTTAGAACTTTTTTGGTGGAAAACAGCATTTACTTCTGTTTCCAGCAAAGAATGCGCATTGCAGACACTGGGTTCACTTTATGATCATGACTTTTGCTTAATGACTTCTGCAAAGAAGGTTGTTCATTTGGATGTGGTCACATGAAGACCCACTTAATAATTGGCATGACTTACAACTGTAATTCTGTAGCAGTAAGTCAAGGACTACCTGTAAGCTACAAAAAAGCAGGTTCCAATTTTAGAACAAAATGGAACCAATCAAATTGGGGTATCCTATTATCCTTGCTTGATTTGGATGAGGGGATAGACGCAGTGGTGGGATTCAAATTTTTTTACTACCGGTTCTATGGGTGTGGCTTGGTGGGCTTGATGTGGCTTGGTGGGTGTGGCTTGGTGGTGGGGCAGGGGAGGATACTGTAAAATCCCCATTCCCTCCCTACCCCACTAACCTGCTTTCCAGCTCCATTCTCCTGTGCAGGGCAACAAAAGAAGACCCAGCCAATCAGCTGGGACTAGGGAGGCAGAGAATAGATGGAGGGTGGCAGTCAGAGATGGTATTTGCCGGTTCTCTGAAGTACTCAAAATTTCTGCTACCGGTTCTCCAGAACTGGTCAGAACCTGCTGAATACTACATCTGGATAGACGGGGAACTCATCAAATTTGCAGATACTAAGCTGGCAGGAATAGTTCACACTCCAAAAGGTACAGAAGGATCTTGACAGACTTGAACATTGGGCGCTATCTAACAAAATGAAATTCAATGGTGAAAAAAAAAAAAAGATTTTACAGTTAGGCAACAAAAATCAAATACACAAGTATAGTTTAGGTCAGGAATCTCCAACCTTGGCAACTTTAAGCCTGGCAGACTTCAACTCCCAGAATTCCCCAGCCAACTTTGCTGGCTGGGGAATTCTGGGAGTTTAAGTCCGCCTGGCTTAAAGTTGCCAAGGTTGGAGACCCCTGGTATAGGTGATACCTGGCTCAATAGTAGTAACTGTGAGAAGGAATCTTAGACTCCTAGTGGACAATCACTTAAATATGAGCCAGCAGTGTGCTGCAGCTACCCAAAAAAACCAAGGACTGTATTAACAGAGGGATAGAATCAAGATCATGTGAAGTGTTAATACCACTTTATAATGCCTTGGTGAGGCCACACTTGGAATACTGCATTCAGTTTTGGTCACCACGATGTAAAAAAGATGTTGAGACTCTAGAAAGAGTGCAGAGAAGAGCAACAAAGTTGATTAAAGGACTGGACGCTAAAACCTATGAAGAATAGTTGCGGGAATTGGGTATGTCTAGTTTGATGAAAAGAAGGACTGGGGTGACATGATAGCAGGGTTCCAATGCCTTATTGAAGGCAGGACAAGAAGCAACGGATGGAAACTGCGGTAATCAAGAAGAAAAGCAACCTAAAACTAAGGAGAAATTTCCTGACAGTTAGAACAATTAATCAATGGAACAACTTGCTTCCAGAAGTTGTGAATGCTCCAACACTGGAAGATTTTAAGAACAGATTGGACAACTATCTGAAATGGTATAGGGTTTCATGCCTGAGCAGGTTGGGGACTTCCAGAAGACCTCCAAGTTCCCTTCCAACTCTGTTTTGCATTTCTTAAAACATTCACATAAAATACACACAATAAAGACCAAACACTGGCGAGAGAGACTATAATCCTGTGCACACCAGAGGATAAAAGAACCAGTCAAGGAAGTCTTCTAAAAACGAAGTGGGAATGTTCAGATGCAAATGAGCTGAGTATATGCCAAGTTCTGCTTCAAAAATTACATTAAATCAATTCTTTATGTAGTGCTAAGCATTTATTTATCATGTTTGCTGGTTGCTATCCACAAAATGGTAGATAATAAAGTGTTTAAACTTTGGCTTAGTGCCAAAGGAAAGATTGGAAGCATTTAATTAAGAGGGGGGGGGAAGTCATTGCTACAATGATGAATTCCAGTCCCAATACGTCTGGAGTAACCAGATTTAGCAACTAGTGTACAGATTGTACCCTGAAGATGATATTTAATTTCCTTGTACAAGGTGCAATGACAATAAAGTAAATTAAATTTGGGGATGTTATTCCAGATAATGGGGACAAAAACAGATCCACCAATTTTATTGGGATAAGAAAGACCTTTTGTTCTGCTTCCTTTGCCGTTGTAATCCTGCCCGCTGAAACTTCTCTATTTCTTTCCCCAGCCTCTGCAGTTTGCAGCGTTTGTGTCATTCTTCATCTACAGCCGGTAAACCAAGCCAAGCAGAAGGGCGTGGATTGTTTGTCACTCTCTCTAAACCAGGAACAAGAGAAAATAAACAGGAGCTTGCTCAATCCAATCCTGCCTGAGAACATGCAAGCGAGAAGCGGACGGAGATCCAAACCTTTCTCATTGGGGGGGAATGAAAGAAAACAGGTTCGAGCCACTCTCTGCAGGTTAAGGACAAGCCAAAGCCCAGTTCACACACCTGAGTTGAAACCTGGGCCTTTTGCTCTTGAGAGTGTTCTCAGCATAGGAAGTGGCACATGTAAAGTAACTATACACTGAAAAATGCTTTCGAGCATGGAAAGGTTATCAAGAACCACGTCTCTCCTGCAGGCTTACAACAGTTTGTCTAATGACCGTTCGAAGTTACAACGGCACTGGTGACCTCTGACCATTTTTCACACTTACGACCTCTGCAGCATTCCCGTGGTCACATGATCAGAATTTGAACGCTTGGCAGCTGATTCATATTTATGACGATCGGTGTCCCAGGGTCACGTGACTACCTCTCTGACAAGCAAGATTCACTTAACAGTCAAGTTATTAGCTGAACAATTGCAGTGATTCACTTAACAAACGTGGCAAGAAAAGTCGTAAAAGGGGGCAAAACTCACTTCACAATTTTCTCACTTAGCAACATAAATTCTGGGCTCAGTTGTCATAAGTTGAAGACTATCTGTATTTCATCCACCTGGTTTACCAGGATGGGGAGGCAGTGTGCATTATGGGTCCCATTGATTAGGGATGTACTGTATATTTCAGACATGATATTCTTCCAATTAAAATCGGAATTCTGATTTTTTTGGGAATCGCCCCCCCCTTTCCCCCCCCTTCTTCTCCTCCTTCCCCTCCCCTCGGAGGCCCCGAGTCAGGAGTTGCTACCACCGGCGCGGCTCTGCGTGGCTCCAGTCCCGCGTTGCCTCAGGAAGGGAAAGGCAAAAAGGAAGAGCCGCGGCGGCGCTTTGCAACGGCAGCAGCGGCTCCTGGTTTTGCCTTTCCCTTCCCGAGGCAACGCGGTGCGAGCAGAGGCCGGGCAGGCGGGCGGTGCGAGCGGCGGGCGGGCAGGTGGGCGGTGCGAAAGGGAGCTGGGCAGCGATTTCTTGGTGCGCGGTGGGGCGGGGGTCTCTTTTGGCCGGCCCCGATTTTTTTTTCAGAGGGGAATATCATGCCTGATATTTTATTTATTTATTTATTTATTTGATTTGTCAATCGCTTACAAGATAATAGGTGTAAGTATATACATAGTTATGAATACATGAAATGGGTACATATAAGAAAAATAAAAGAATAGGACAGGGACGGTAGGCACGTTGGTACGCTTATGCACGCCCCCTACAGACCTCTTAGGAAAGGGGTGAGGTCAATAGTAGACAGCCTAAGGTTAAAGTCTTCTCCCACTATTTTAGATAGCCAGAAGCAGTTTGCTCTGTACATGGATTTAGCCTGCATGGACAATGCTCACTTTTCATTCTCCATGCTTTATCAAGCCTTTGTTAAAGTCATCTCACTGGCCATTGCTGGATCTTGTGGCAATGGGTTCTGCAGATGAATTTACATTTTTTTGTGTGTGAAACGGACTTTCTTTGTCACTTACTGACTGAACTTACTCACTGGCATATTAATATAATCTTATATCCAATGCTTCCATTCTATTTCCACACAACTTTTAGAGTGACTTGAAATAGGAGAAGCAAATCCCCTACAGCTATTCTATTTCATTATCTTTACTATTTAATCTCCCCATTTTACCTTATTCGTCCGTCTCTCGTGGAATACTTTCAGTCTGGTACAAACGAATGTTTTGAAAATCCATGTCTAGCAGTTTGTGCAGACCGTACACAGATTTTTCTCCCCACTCCAGAATGTTCACGACCGTTGCTGTTGGCCACGTTCAGAGTTGAGCTCATATTTTTAAACAAAAACTTGGCTTCTGTCAAGCCCCCAATGGTCTCTTGACTCTTGGCAGGGTTGTGAGCATAAAACAAGCAAAGTGTTGTTTATGTTGCCAGGGCGAAGAGGGGTAGAGAACATTGGAGAAAAGATAATAATGACAAAACTAACTTGTGGAGCAAAGGGAACAAAATGTTCACCAGCAGAGAAAGATGGATCTCTTTGGGACTCGCTAGTAACAGCTCACTGTTCCCAGGAGAATGGAATTTGCCAACTCCCAAATAATTAAGTATGCAAGATTTGGTTGGTTTCTCAAACAGTTTTATTGGGGAGGAACAAAGAAGGAAACACACTGTAACTTACTATATATACAGAATAAATGAGGGAACCATGTTTACCCTCAGCTATGTATAATAAAATCCCACCCACCCACCCATATCCCATTGCCAGCAAGTGCCCTCTCTATATCATCTTGGAAAGGAAGATGGGGAAATTATTCTTAAGGACAGAACTGTCTGGAGACAAAACTTTATTTGGCTAGAGGGACCACTGGCAGTTCTTTACTTCTCCCTTCCACCAGTTGCTGCCAACATGCCGTTCAAGGAGCAGTACCTTCATGGCTGACTGTTCTTTATGATGGGAAGAGGAGACCTTGCTCTCATTCTAAAAGCGGAAGAGTATAGGCCTTCTTGATTCCTAATCCACACAAATTCTTGTGCTCTGATGCTCAAAACGTGGCTGACAAATTTCCTCAGGCAGCTGTGCCCCCATCTCAAATACAGGACTTGTTCAATGTGGAAAAGGCTCGTTGGCAGTGTCCTCCCAACACATTTCACTTGGGTACTGAATTAAACCATTTCTCTAGGCTCAAATATGCATCGAATCATAAATTAAACAATTGGGGATGGGTTTGTGCAACACAATACCCTCCCAAACTAACCATGATTCAAGCCAAGTACTCTTAGTATGCAGATAAAACTTCAGGGAAAGAACACTCTCTGCCACTTGCCACCCATTTTCCCCAGGAATATTCAACCACCCCAAGTGCTGACATTGTTCCCATCCCCAAGTCCAGCAAATGATCATATTCTTCCCGCATTGCTTGAAGGGTTCCCTTTCAGAAACCACAGGTAGATAGAAAACAAAGGTGTCCAAAGTTGGGAGCGGAGCGGCAGGAGTGGGTGGGTGGGGAATCCAACCGCACAGAAACCATCATTCAAAGAAGTCCACTTGATCCTTCCAGGTTTATACTAACCATCTGCAGTCATTTTGGCCCCTGAAGGGGGAAGGCAATTGGGATGGGGTCTCACCAGCCAAGTGTTCAAAGCAAGTGTGAGAATGTTTTATATCAGAGGTAAACAAAGAAAAATGGGGCCAGGCAAGTTCCTTCCCCTTCTTAGGGACTCCATCAGAAGGGAGTCATACGGACCATCACTGTACAAATTCTCACTGAACATGAGAATAAATCTTGATGGAAGTTTTTTCTTCTTCTTGGGCAAGCAAAGGTGAATTCAACCCATCCTTGTAGGCATGCAACACTTACAACCATGGGGGTGGGGGGGTTTCTGCCACTTCATACGTAGTTCTTCTTGTCGTAGCTCATTGCAGTAGACTTGGGGGCAGAGTAGACCATGGGTGTAGGTCTGTACTTCTCCTCCTTGGGGGGGCAGGAACAGCAGAGCAAGCTTCCTCCAAAAAGAAAAAGGGCTGCCGCCGCCCAACCAATGTAGAGTGAAGGTCCTATTTCGCGTTTCAGGGGGCCTGGGACTGCTGGATTGTAGAAATCACGGATAATTTGATTGGCAGACCAGCAGACAGGGATGAGAATCAGGATGCCTGTCAGCAGAAAGATGACCCCCGAAACGATGGTGATCTTGGCCTTCGTAGATTCATCGTCAATGCAGCGAGTGCACTGAGCTCCCATCAGGAAAATGAATATCCCCAGCACCGCAAGGACGATGGCAATGATGATTAAGGCCCGAGCAGCCTGTAGGTCCGGTGCCAATGACAGCATGGAATCATAGACCTTACACTGCATCTGGCCAGTACTCTGGGTCACGCAGTCCATCCATAGCCCTTCCCCGGTGAACTGCGCAGTGACGATGTTGTAGCCGATGAAAGCAGTCACTTTCCACATAGGCAACCCACAACACAAGATGATGCCTATCAAGCCCAGGACAGACAGGACTATACCACCAATCTCCAAACCCATCGACATGTTGGCACCGATAAATCAGCCCCTGCCTTCCCAATTGCAATGCGATCCTCTGCTTTCTAGTCGTGAGGTTCTGAGCAAAGCAGGTGAAGCACCCAAAGCTCTGAGCTGATTTATAAACTGTCCTGTTACCTGGGCGGGCTCTTTAGCTCAAGCATGGGTGGGGCGTCACCAACGGACTCTCAACCTGCCCTACCTTTGTACCATCCTCTCTCTCTCTCTTTTTTTCTTTGTTTGAGATGGCATTTATGAGAAATGGAAGTTTGCTGTAGAGGGCAAATTACCCTTGAACTGAATTCCAGCTGATTGTTTGGCGTGACACTTGGTTTCAGAGCAGACTGACAGGCAAAGATTGGTAGCAAAAAGCAAAACGCCTTGTAGGGAGGCTCTTGATTCACCCGGGCTTCATTTGTTGCATTTCAACTTTGGGTTGGGTCTCCCAAGTCCAAATCAAGCATGTCCCCTAATATTCAACAAACTGTGTTTATATCATAAACCTCAGACATACACCAGAATTTCTTGGTATTTCATCACTTTTTGCTGATTTATTGAAGACTTGCGTAGTTTCGGCTAACACAGCCTATAATAAGCATGAGGTGCACTTAATTAGCTAAACTGTCTACATCTGGGTGTGTTTTTTTAATACGCTCATGATGAACCTTTTACCTCCAAACCATTTCGTGACATTCTTTCTCACAGTTTAAGCTAAGCTATCTGAGGGACCATCTCTTCCTGGTCATATCTACCCGACCCATGGGGAGGCAAGGAATGTTGCGGGTCCCGTACCCTAAAGAGATATATCTGGCATAAGGGACCCGGAGAAAGGGCCTTCTCTGTGGTGGCTTCCTCCCTCTGGAACCTCATCCCTCCGGAAATTAGACTGGCCCTCACTCTGACACTCTTTCGGAAGCCCTGAAGATGTGGTTTTGCCTGTGGGCCTGGGGAACGCAGGGCGGGATGGAGTCCATTAAATATGGAGATTTTACAGTATCCTTTCCCTGCCATGCCCACCAAGCCAGACCCACAGAACCAGTAGTAAAAAAAAAATTGAATCCCACCACTGGTGGGTGGGTATTATTTTTATTTCTTTTATAGTGTTTTTATTTCCTGTAAGCCACTTTGAGTTTCTGTGAGCGAGTAGGTGGCAATATAAATTTTCCAAATAAATAAAGTGCCATGTTATCTTTATTTCAATAATAGGCCCACTAGCAAAATTCTTCAGCACAGTTACAAAGCTACAATCAGTCAGCTTAACTAACTTTTCATACAACTAAAGCATTTATGGTCAGCCTCTTTAGCTTTTTCTGATAAGTGTCAAAAAAGATGTTAGCAGTTACATTTATAACTGATTCTGTTTGTGTCAAGCAAAAGATGGACAAATTGAGTAAGATGGTTTAGGTCTAGTTGGAGCTAAGTCATGGTTCACTTGCAAAAGCCCCTTAATAGTTTACTAATAAATTAATAGACCAGACTCGGGCCCTCAGGGATTCCAGGAAAATATTTAAGACTTCAATTATAGTCTCATTCTCCAGACCTATTAGACCGAAGAAATGACCAGCCATTAATACTGGTAGTTGAACTATCTGGACCAGCATTTCTCAACTTTGGCAACTTAACTGGGGAATTCAGGGAGATGAAGTCCATACATCTTCAAGTTGCCAAGGTTGATAAATTTTCCCTACAACAACAACCTTGTAAGGTGGGCTTGGTTAAGAGACAGAATAATTGGCTCAAAGTGACCCAGCTGGCTTTCATGCCTAAAGTGGGACTAAAACTCACAGTCTCCTGGTTTCTTAGCCAGCACCTTAAACACTAGGCCAAACTGGTACTCCCTCTGGTAGTAGAGGCAAGGAGAATTTTTACTACACTTTTTCCTGTGTTTCCACCTCAAAGTAAGAGTGCATATTTTCTGCACATTTTCACAATTATAATCTAAGGTGCTAGTGTATAGGGGTGGTGGAAAAGAAGCCTCAGCTTTCCTACTCATACCTTAATTAAGATGACCAACTTTTATACAATGAAAAGGAGGACACAAATAAACTGAAGAAAAAAAATAAAGCCACTTGCGCGCGGTGCACTCTCTCAAAACAATTCTCCTGTGTGGAGCGCATGTGTCTCATAATCACATCTCGCCGCACTGTACCGAGCCTTGACGAATCATCATGTCAAATACAAATACATCACATTACACACAACGGATCAGTTCGGCATCGATCAAATACGGAGATTTACAGATTAGCCTTCAAATATCAAATAGGAGGACACTTTTTGAGAGAGGACAGAACTTATAAAAGGAGGACTGTCCTCCCTAAAGGAGGGCGGTTGGTCACCTTACCTTAATGGAATACAAAAAGGGAACAGTTCAAGCAAATATTTTAACAGTGAATATACCAAGCTCTGAAAAGAAGAGCAGCAAGGATAGAAATAGTTTTTCCTCCTGATTACAGAATATTGTATTACATAATTATTGAATTACAGAATACTGTAATACAGAAAACAGTTGGAAGGGACCTTGGAGTTTTCCAGTCTAGCCCCTTGTTTGACTAATAGCTGTCCAATCTCTTCTTAAAAACCTCCAGTGACAGACCATCCACAACTTCTGGAGATAAGCCCTTCCACTGATTAATTGTTCTCACTGGTAGGAAATTTTTCCTTAATTCTTGGTTGGATCTCGCTTACTAAAGTTTCCATTCATTACTTCTTGCTTTGCCCTAAGGTGCTTTGGAGAATAGGTTGTCCCCCTCTTCTTTGTGACAGCCCCTCAAATATTAAGGTAAAGGTGAAGGTTCCCCTCGCACATATGTGCTAGATGTTTCCGGCTCTAGGGGGCGGTGCTCATCTCCGTTACAAAGCTGAAGAGCCAGCACTGTCCAAAGACGTCTCCGTGGTCATGTGGCTGGCGTGACTAAATGCCGAAGGCTCACGGAATGCTGTTACCTTCCCACCAAAGTGGTCCCTATTTTTCTACTTGCATTTTTACATGCTTTCGAACTGCTGGGTTGGCAGAAGCTGGTACAAGTAACGGGAGCTTACTCCATTACGCGGTGCTAGGGATTCGAATCAGCAAGCTGCCGACCTTTCTGATTGACAAGCTCAGTGTCTTAGCCACGGATGACTGCTATCATGTCACCTCTAGTCCTCCTCTTCATTAGACTGAACATACCCACTTCCCGAAAGCATTCACTGTACACTTTAGCCTTTTATAGTTGGGGTAATAGGCCCAAGACAATATCTCCTGAAATCCTTAGGAGTTGCTACCATCAAAATACTTGGTTAGGTGGGTACAGCTGATTCAGGGTAGATGCACATTTCCAGTTCACTCCAGCATCTCCTGAGAAGAGAACATTGGATGATGTCATTCAGAAACCAGCTCCAACCAGCAACTAACTACAACTTGCCTGTATTTTCTTTCTTTCTTTTTTTTTTTTTTGTAAATTTTATTTGAATTTTCACAAAGAGAAAAAAAAATACAAATAAAACATCTTTTTTGAAAGTAGCGTAATCCCGGGTTACATTTCTTCGTACAGACACAAATTCAATTTCATGCTCATTTTTATGTTCTATTCCATATCTTATTACTGTTTTACATTTTCTGCATAGCTTCTCCCTCTTTTAATTTTCTCAATTTTATTTTAATTATCTCGTCTCAATTCAAATCATTATATTTTTTGTCTGTCCTGTTTCAATTATCTATTATCTTTTCTCATTAAACAAAGTTTCTCCTGTAGTTGCTGATTGGAGTATGACACCTTTATATCTTTTAAGTTTATCCATTTAATTCTTATTTAGGCTTCAATATATACCTTAAAGTTATAACATTCAATATAATACATAACTTCCATTCGGATTCTGCTTGGTACATTCTTAAAATACACACTATATTCTTTTTTTTAAAAAAAGATTATAAATATATGTAATTAAAACAACACATTCCATTCCAATTCAATTCTATCATTAATGTTAATATTCATTAAAATCTTAACTTCTTTAACATTACTTTTCAATTAAATATCATTCTTCTATGGGAACAGTTATAAGCTTTCCATAATTAATTCCCCCCCCCTTCACTTATATTTTATAAAACATTAACTGATTAAAATGTTCCCGTCCCTTCCTAATTCAATTTTCTCATTTATTTTATTTCATTTATTTTATTAACAAACATTTCACTAGATTACAGTAACTATTTTATCCCTCATTTTAATCATACATTGCTTCCAATTTTCTAAAATTATTTCTATTACTAATATAACAATACAATCTTATGTACCTTTACAGAATCCCTTTTTCAGTTAAATTTTCACCCATTATCTCTAAATAGGCCCTGTTTCTTTACATCTTGTTTCTGTCCTTTGTAACTTCTTTTCCTTTCCTTCTTCCCTCTCTTCTTCTCTCTCCCCTTTTTACCCCCTTGTCTCTCTACCTCTATTTCTCTTTTCTGTATTCCCCTCTTCTGTTGCTTTCCAATATTATACTTATTTTTCAAACTATTTTTCTTTTCTTTGGTTGTTTTTTTAAGTCTTAAATTCTCCATTCTCTTTCTCCCCTTTCCTTTTTCTTCCCCACATAGAATTACTTGTTCATTAAAGATGGCTTCTTCTTTGTCCCAGTCTTCTTGTTTTGCAGACGTTTCTTGTTGTTTGTCATAGTTCCAAATCTCCATTTCGAAGAATTGAAAAATGAAGCCAAAAGAACCCCTCCCTTCTTGTGCATCTTCTTTGTACTTTTTAAGTTCCATTTTCAATTCATCGAGAAGTAGTGCCATTGTATAAATTTTTAAACAACCACCCGATTAATTTTAGTCATTCAAATGCAATAACCAAGAATCCAAAGATCACCAAGTAACCCAAATACACGCAAGCTGTTTCTTTTTGCTTTTTTTTTTTTCACTTTCTCTTCCTGGGGTTCTACTATTTAGTTGCCAAGTTTCAGTTAAAATGTATCTTTTAGAAGTCTTGTTGAAGTTTTACTGTATATTCCTTTTAATTCCAGGCAGTCTCCTCCCTTTTTTCCAGATCCTGCCCTTTTATTCTTTTTCTCTCCTATCCTGCTTATAAAAATTTTTTAGTGTC